TATTGAATAATACTGGTCCTAGTACTGACCTGGTACTTTACCTCGGAAAACGTCACATAGTTTCACAGGAAATAGGCCTTGCAGATATTTCTTGTTATATGGATTTTCCCCTTGGTTTTCATGTAAACCTAGTTTTTCTTTAGATATGTCTTTTTTTAAACACTGGAAAGTCTGAACTGTGTTCATAGAATGAAAGAATAAGCTACTTATGAATATGAGAATGATTTTGAATTTTATTTGATTTGACTGCATTCTGATTTGGTGGTTCTTTTACCCTGCTTTCTTCCTCCCAGTATACACCTGTACGAGTCGAGCCCTGGCATATGCTTTGGGCACTGGGGATGTTATATATGACACCTGCACATCTTCCTCAGTGTCTTTAGATTCTACTGTAAGACACATTTCTTTTAACAAAGCCCAGCATCACTGCAGCAGTAACTCACTTCTACTTAATGTGGGTTACTAACCTTATCCTTAAGTGCCCCTAAAGGTCTCTGCCTGTCATGCTTTCAAGCTAACTAGCCTTTCAGGTGTTCAGGTAAATGCCTCGTGCTGCTTTTGCCAAATCTAGTGATCTTTCCCGTGAGGAGGGTACGAGTGAACCTCTCCAATTCCAATAACAGGTTCCCCTGCAGTTCATTGAAAAGGAGTTAGAGTCACTCAATGAGGTAATGATAAACGCCTGTGGAACTCTTGGTACGCATTCACATGAGCATAGCAGTGCTGAAGACAAAAATAACTTGAGGGTAAGGCAGTTGAGAAATGAAGAAATAGCCCACGTGTGTTACTAGCCCGTTGTTTTCAGGTTTTTTTTCCCATTCTGACCTCTTGGGTGCAGTCCTCTCAAAGGATGTATCAAGATGTCTGAATGTACTTGTTCAAGTAGTTATGGACTGGTATGGTGTAGATCACTTTGTGCCTCTTACAACTGTCTCCACCCTCCCTATATATTTGTTCTCCTTCAGGAAAAATCTTGGCTTTTTTACTTTTGCATTTAGTCCTTCATTTCTTGATTTTTCGTAGCTTCAGCATCAGTCCTTGTGATGTTCAGCCTCCTAAGACTACAGCAATTTGTTATCTGCCAAAAGTGTGGAACTCCTGCTGGATGCCTAGTGGTCTTAAAAAATTGGATCAGTTAATTAGGAGTTGAAATTAAAAGGAGGGGAAAGGGAGGGAGGACTTGGAGCTAGAAACTCTGTGTTTACATTGGTGGGCTAATAGAAAAAAATTAATCCATAGTGGTTCTTCCTGTTACTGCTCTGGGTGGATGGCATACATGGATACAGAGATATTTGCAGAATATGTACCGTGTGTGTATGTATACACACACAATATGTATGTACAGTGTACACACGGTATAGCAAATGGTTGTCATACAATGAGATGCAAATTAAAGAGTTGCACATGAGTTTGGACAGTAATCTATCTACTGGGATAGCTACTGACTTTCTAAAAGCAGTTTCTAATCTTTCCACTTGAAAGGTGAACAAATAATAGCATCATTTATCAGAAAAGTAGTCTTTTTTGTGTTGAATCTTATGCCCTGTTTTACTGTGTTGGCAGGGCAATATTTGTCCTGTTTTCACGGCTGCTTTAAGATACTGTAACTCATGAGCTTCGAGGACTTACTGGGGCATATATACCATCAGCCAGGAGTGCTTTCTGCCTCTCAGCTGCTACACAGGACTATTCCTAAACCCAAAATGACTCAGATCTTAGACTTGTAATCTGTATTTTGTTTTTTTCAGATACTTTTAGTAGTATTGATAAGAGCTGTGAGATGCCAGAGCTCGTGCTGTTTCTGAACACTTTGGCTTTCTGAGCCCTGATTGATTCAGTTTTGTACTTTCACATCTCCCCAGCTGAGAGTCTGGCTGGCTCAGGGAAAGTCAGACGGTTAAACCAAAACAAACTGGGATGAGACACAGAGGCCAGAGAAGGTGGATACTGTTTTTTACCATGCAAATGAGGAGAGAACATCCCTTTGTCTTTTAGGAAAAAAAAATGGGATAGCCTCTGTTCCCTGGTAGGTGAGAGAGACTGTTGCTGTACAGGTTCCCTTATTCTTACTGCTTCATCCTGCCCTGGTAATTAGTGCTCCACTATTGCTACTTTTTTTGTGTATTTTCTTTGAGAATCAAGAATCAAGCTCAAAATCACTGTAGCTTAATTCTTACCTCCTCCTGCTTCAAGTTACGCTACTAGAGTCTTTTGGCTTGGGCATGGGACCATGGGAAAGTTTTTGAGCTGCAGCTGCCTTGCTGACCAGCCTGGGGGCCAGGTACAGTGAGGTCACAGCTGTGTCTGTCCTTGCTGGATCTCCGTGGGTTCACAGATCTGTTCAGGCTCTGACTGCTTCTCTTTTAACTGGGTTGGAGAGTATCCTAGAAACTCACAACCATGAAGACACTGTTTACTGTTGACCGTAAATGGAAGCTGTTAGACGCAGATGAGGTTTCATCTAGTGCTTCCTCACTCATGAGAAACTTATTTTCTTAGAAGGATTTCTAAAATAATGTATCTGTTGTTATTACTTATGTATCTGTTATTAATAATGCATTAAGAAGCTTGCCCATAGGTGCAACAAAGGGCTACAAGAGCTAAGGTATTTAAAATGTGCATTTTAAATTGCAAATCACAGAATCACAGGGGTTGGAAGTGACCTCAGGAGATCATCGAGTCCAACCCCCCTGCCCAAGCAGGTTCCCTACAACAGATTGCACAGGAAAGTGTCCAGGTGGGTTTTGAACATCTCCAGAGAAGGAGAACTCCACAACCTCTCTAGGCAGCCTGTTCCAGTCAGGGCATCATCTGTGAGCAATAACATGGCTATTGTGAACTTAGTGGTGACACCTTTGTCACATCACCTCATTGTGTATTTTCTTTGTTTAAAAGTGTGCACTCAAAAAACCGTCCATAGTGTTCTCTGCTTTGTGACTAATGTCAGCCTACGTCCAGCAATACTTCAGGGGAGATGTACTTCAGAGCTGGAGAGGGAACATCTCAGTGGTATGTGTTTAGCAAGTTGGGTTTCAGGAATGTGGTGGATACAACTGGAAGGTGATTTGCAGTGAAAGCTCATTTCTCCGTTATATCCTCTTATCTGGTTAGATTTATACATGTCTCCTGGAAGCTGAGAAGCCAAATTTCTACCAGCTGCAGGTGTGCTTGGGCTGCTGTTGTTATCAAGTACGTAGGGATTCCCAGTTGAGAAGAATCTTCATGGTTAGGGAGAGAAAGGAAATAATGATAATATTAAATGCATAATCATAGTAATATCCTTAAGCTCCATGTATACATGATACAGTATTTTATCCTTTATAATAGTAAGATTAGTTTTTGTTCCTTTGGCTGATGAGTAAAATAAATATATTGTTTAACTAAATCTTCCAGAAACGGCACTTGTTCAAACCTCAATTTCTTTTTTACAGGTACTCCTGAGGATTATCCACAGTATTTCCATATGAATCTCACAACAGCTGTACTCACACTCCTAAAGCCAATAAATAGGGATTTACACCAGAAGTTTGACTTGGTTATTAAGGTAATTTTGGCTGAATTAATATTTCCGTGTGCTTTTGAAAACTGCTTAGTAACAAAAAGCTCTAGAGAAAATATGAGGTGGGCTTGCTTGTTTCTTGCATTTTTTTATTATTATTTTTTTAGCCTATGAGGCATCATTTAGCACAATCGAGGGAAGAAGGATGTGAAGTATTTTTGAAAAGGGAATGAATTGTGGTAGAGTTCTAACATTTTGTGTTAAATTGATATTGTATGAACAAACTAAGTACCCCTTGTACATTTGCTTTTTACGAACTCAGTTGTCCTGAGAATTCATTTGTTTTCTATTTCACATTTTCTCCAGTTCACAACCTATGCTAGAGAGAATTTTATAGATAAAAACAATTGTCTGAGTACTGAATGTTGGGAGCAAGGAGAATAAAAAATCACCTCCACAGCTTGTAGCAATTTTTGCGTGTTTGTTTTTGGTGGTGGTGGTTTTGGTTTTTTTACATTTTTTTCTTCAGGCATGATTAAAAAAAAACCCCGACAACAACAAAAAAAACCCAACAAAAAACAAAGGAGGCTTGTCCAGAGCTCTGCTGCTGAGTAAAAAGGAAGCTTCTGAAACATAACCAGTGCTGATCTCATTCAGCTCCTATTGCTGGGGAAGGACACAAACCACTTCTGTGGGGCTGGTCTTTTCAAATCCTGCCACTGATGAGGAGAGCTGGCTTCCCTCCTTTTTTGTACCTACTGCTTTGTCCTTAGTTTTACAGTCTGACTCGGTAACAGCCTGCAGTTCTTCTTAACTGAGCCAAGTGATCAAAGCACATACCAGTTAGTTGTGAGGAATGTGTCTTTACAGAAAATCTGAAAATGTATCTTCATCTGGTTACTGAGTCCCAGTTTTGCAAGTATGAAATATATTCAGAATTTGCTGCTTTCTTTGCCAATTTGAGGATTAACAGGAAAAGAATAGCAGGTGATGATCTCAATATGTAGTTGCTAAACTTGTTAAATGTAGTAAACTATTAACTTTATGTTGAGCAAAATTGTACAAAACCATAAGCTTTGCTGCAGGAGAAATTTGTGTGAATGGGCTGCAAAAGTCAGTTCAGTAAAGAGGGTCTCTAATGAGAACAGAGCAGAATTACATTTGGTTCTTTTGGAGATGGTCTGGAGTTGTCCCTAAAGCTGTTGCTTAATGACACAGAAAGCTGCCTAGCTTTTCCTGTATTTATTGGTAAGCAGAGGAATAAATAAAAGAGAAAGGAATGGCAATAATCTATTTTAAAATAGTAGATCATTTGTATACATTGTAGAATAAAGAGTAGGCTTTTGAAACTGCAGTGTGCTTTCACACAGGGATGTCATAAAGCTCTTGCTGTTCGTTAGTGTTATTTAATCTATTTCTAAATACAGATACTCATATGGTAAGAATTATTTATTTGCCTCTCCTACCATCCTAATTTTTTTCAGGGTGTTAATGGTGGCACTGGCAGCAGGAAGTCCCTTTGGCAAGACCAGTTCCTTCTATACCAACCTATGAACCTCTTTGAAATCATGTACCGTAGTTTTGCTAACTCCCAGCCTAGATGCTTTGGCTTGTCATGCAGTCAGACCAAAATGCTTACTATCATTCTTCAGGGAAAATCTGAGTAGGGTTGAGCAAAGCTCAGTCTTTCAAGCACTTGGCAGTTGGGGAAGCAATGATACACACTTCTGCTCTCAAAATCAGGAGGGATGAAGGAACAGGTGCAAATATGATGTGACAGAGTGACCTGGGTCCCCACTTGTGCCTTTGCATGGCCATACAAAAGCTGACTGTGGCTAGTACTTGTGTAACTTGTAGGAATTATTCTTTTTTATACTAACTCAGCATTCATTAAGCACAGGAGAGAGTTGCAGGCTCCCTCTGTGCATCTCAGAGAGGATGTCAGTTTCTGTGCAAAGATGGTATTAAGTTTATTAATATAGAGGTCATTCTGTATCTTCTGAGGAATATAACTAATCATAGTATGATAGAAGAGGAAATAAAATTGCAGCTTATAGGAATTTTGTATAACTTGGCACCTTTTTAAATACGTGTGTTAATTTCCTACCTCAGTTGATTTTGTGTGCATCAAAGTACAAAGCTTGCATAGAGTTAGAGTGAAATAATTTGTGATTGGATTCTTTGATAATAATCTATTTTTGAGCTTGTTTCCTGTTGTGGAGTTCTGCTGTCACTGGGACAGATGAAGAAACTTAGGTGGATTAATATCTAAATAAATATGCTAAGAAGTTATGGGTTAAAGCCCTGTAGTGGTTCATTTGGTTTCATCGTCGTTGTGAAAATTCAGCAGCCATATACAGTAGCATAATACATCAATTAAAAAAATCAGTTATGCCAGTCTGGTACTGCATTCTGTGTGCCTAAATAGCAAGCTCTGTTGTTAATGGAAATGTTTATAGGCATTATGATGTTCATATTGCTGTGTTATATGTGCAGTCAAGGGGATAATAAGGAAAATTATCAGTCTGTAAGAATGATAATATGCCACCTACTAGAATAATAAAAGTTATAATGCTGTGTTGTTTGGGGACCTTTTGAACTGGTGTAATGTCTCAGGCTTGTACCAAATCAAATCTTCAGATTCTTGTTTTACACATTATCAAGTTTGCATTCCTCGCAGTGTTGAAGTTGTTGAATCTGATTCTGTTTTATCTGTAAGGGTGCTATGTGTGATGTTTCCCTTTAAATAGAAAATATACTATTTTTGCAGGACTTGCTAAGCTTAATCTTTAAAATATTCCCTCTGATATCTGGAGATCAATTTATTTTTTTCTTACAAAATATTACAGAAAACAGTGATATAGAAAAGGTGATTAAGTCAATACATGAATGTGTGAAGTAAGGCAGACAGGAAATTGGCATGCTCATCTGTGGTGTAAAAACTGCATTGCTGATAAATGTTGAATTCTCAAATAGGTAGACAATGGAAAAAGCTAAACTTCGTAATAAGAAATGCTGGTTTTCAGCCTCCCTGCTGACTCCAGAAGATAGTTGATGATAAGCAAGGAGACAAACTTACTGGCCCTCACTGCAAAGTAACAGGGGCTTTTACAAAGGAACGGGTGGGTATCCCATTGAAATTTCCATGTGGTAACTGCAGGGCTGTCACAATAAACGTGTGGATTTAAAGCCTTTAAACTGAAAGGGCTTTCCAGTGTTAATAATACTGTAACTAAAAATATAGGCGTGTAAGACCCAAAATGTATAAGGTTTGTGACCGTTATGAATCATAAGTGTTTTTTCCCTTTACTTACTGTTCTTCAGTTACAAAAGATTGTTCCTGAGATGCAGAACCACACCCCAGAGTACTAAATCCTTTTTTGAAGTCAATTACTGCTTTTGGAGTAAGTTGTATTTATAAATTACGTATGGGTGGTGTTTGAAGATTTATGTTGATAAAGGCAAGGACTGCATGTCTCTTTGGAGAGCAGACAATCTGAAGAGAGAACCATCTCTTCTGGAGCAGACAGTCCTGCTTTACAGAAGGTAGTTGCTAGAGAAATCAAACCAAAGCTACAGTGAGAGGGAGCACACTTTCAGCAACCTCAAAGGCTAAAAAATAATTACATCTTTGATCTGCAGCCTCGCTGAAAAACCTCTTGAGATTCTTCATAAAATAACAAACCTATTAAAACTACATTTCCTTAGCATTGTCACTGCAGTAGCTGTCTTTCTCCTGGAGGACAATGATTTGTAACAGGAAGGCATGTAATCTGTTTAGTCCTCAACAGAGTTAACTTCACCTCTGATACCTCTTTGCTTTTAGAAGGGTGTATAGCTGCCTGAAGACAATGGCAGCAGCTTTGATCACCTTTCTGCAAAAAACATGACCACAGCACTGTAGACATAAGACTGTGTTCTTGTTACTAGCTCTAAAAAGTGTCAGTGAGGTGGTTTTTTGTTTGTTTGTTTGTTTGTTTTAAGCATGTATATCACAAAAGAAATAGGAAAAATAATCGAATAGATGCACTTTGATGCCTTCCTATTTGGACATTGGTTATTTATCAGTTAGACAATATCTAACCTGGCAGTTATATTAAAATCAATTTGCAAAGTGGATAGACTACTGAAGGGTAGATATACTTACACAGTCAATGAAATGCTAATGAATGGAAATGCTACACTGCCAAGGAATTTACAACACCTGTAAGAGACCAGATTTTGATAAAATTACTCGTGTTGAGTGATAATTTAATTCACAGGGATGTGCATGGCTTCCAGAATAGGCTGAGGAGCTACACTGCCACAAGGGCTGGCAGTTCGGCCCAAAGAATACGAATGTGGAGATTTGGGGGAGAAATTGTCACTAGCGAATCATAAAGAGCTTTTGCTTTGTAAAATACTTAAAAACATCCTGACTACTTAGATTATTTCAGTGTCTTGTAAAGCAAAAAGTGATCCTCCTCTAAATAAAGAAGTAGCTATTTTATTTACTATGATTACACAATTTTTTCAACTCTGTTAAAACCCAAGGTGGTCCTACTAAAAAAAATGAATAGTAATACAAAGTAAAGGAGCAGGGAAAATGTTTTCTTAGCAACTGCTGTGTAATCAGTTGATAATACGTGCCAACAGTCATCTCTGGTTCTCCAACATATCAATATTTCAGTGGGTTGGTATCCAGTAAGTAGGAAAGAATCAAGAATAATGTTCATTCAGGATTGCTATAAAACCTGTAGGAGTTGCAATAGACAAAAAGACTGGAAGTATTTTGAGGCTAATGATATAGGTGTACCTTTTCACTTTATAGTTGTACCTCTCTAGTCTACCTTACTTACTTAGACCAATCAATATTTCAGTTTTTTTCCAGTGTAAAGAAAATGCATGCATGTCAGATTCAAAATCAGGGTAGGAATTCTGTTTCTCTTGCAAGAATCAATGTTCTATTTTTAATTAATTTTTAATTATCTGGCACAGAGGTACTTGTATTAATGACTAAAAATACTTTGCATATTATACCATGAGGTAGAAAAAGAGACGAGTGT